GGTTCATCTCTTGTTTCCTGTTTAGGATTGGGTTTCCAGTTTTTTCTAAGTCTACTTCAGCTCTATACCCCTAACGCTTATCCTTTCCTATGCTAATATAACTCCAGATAGTAACTCTCTCTACCTTGGAGGCCTTGTACTGTATTGAACATTAATTAAAAAAATATTTTTAAAATGTACTTCAACAAATGGAGGTCACCTTAATTCGGCTAAAATGAAATGACCTGATAAATTATTTGATTTTTGTATTAGTAATAAAACTATTGTTTACATTTTGGCCTTGTCAAATTATATATGCATTTACACGCAAACAGGCATATGTATACTTAGAATTCTGATGATAATAATGTGTGTTAAGTTTTTTCTGGTAACCAAGATAATTGTGTATTTGTTACTGGAGTCAGAGGTCTGTGTCATAAATAGGTCTCATTTCAATACAATGCTTTCACTTTGACAGCACACACTGATATTGAGATAGTCCTGTCAAGTTGTGTATAAATTGATAATGGGAGAAAGCATTAGATGCCTTATCTACTGTATTCTAATCCAATAATGAAATTATTGTTTGCTTAAAAGCCAAACATTATCAGGTTATTATTGTTATTTAAAACTTCAAAGTTTCTTCATTAATAAATACGAGATTTTTTTTCTATTTTTTTTTTTAAACTTTTTACTGTTTTGAACATTGTTAGAAAATCTGAAATAAGTGTCTTGTTTTTAAACAGAATTGATATATAAATTTAAATATATATTTAAAAAAAAACAAAAAAAAGATCATATATCATCAAAATGATAATAGGCGGACAGGTCTGACACACACGCCGGCTAACAAGGGCTCTGGTGAAAATCCAAGGAGCGTCTGCATCGGTAACCGGCGGCTTCTGGTCGTTCCTGTCTCTGCGTCTGTGGGAATCCTGCGGCAAGCAAGAACGTTATTCGAGTAGGCCTGAGTACCCTACTTCTGTAATTTATCCCAAGAATCTTCTTCTCATAACAGGAAGAAGCCGGCTCAATCTGCCCAGGGTGAATGCCGCATCAGTACAGTACAGTACAGTAAAATGACAATATATAATTTTTTTTTTTTTTTAATATTGGACGCCAAAAATATCACTCTGTTTTTGCTGTCACCAGGAACATTTAGTTCTAAGTCGCCCATTCATAAAGGTCACTTTTTATTATATGATGCATTTTTTATTTTCTCTAAAATGATATATTTTGGAAATTTTTATTGCAAAATTTCATTAAAGCAAATAAAAATGGTATAATTATGTTAAAAAGTCAAGAAAAGGAAAAACTACAATTATTGTAGTTGGTATAGTATAATTGATTAGCAGTTGTATAGAAGCACAGAAAAAAGAAAAAATTTCAATGTTTCTTCATTATGAGCTCTTTATTTCTCTCTCTCTCTCTCTCTCTCTCTCCTGTTAATTTTGTTATTCTTTTTCTTTTTTCTGAGCTTCTATTTCCATATCAATTACTGTGGGTTTTTTTTTCATTTTTTTGACTTATTAAAATCATCTCCATTTTTATCACTGTACTATGATGATCAAACATGTAAAAAATGGTTTGTGAAATTTTATACTGCATAATTTTCATTTAATGATATTTTATGCTCACACCAATTTAATTTAGCTGCAATCAAAGATATTTATAATTAAGATAATTTTTATTTATAATATTTTTGATATTTTTAATGTTTTTTATATTATTCTAATATTTTTTTAAGATAATTAAAATATTTGTAATTAAAGTATTACTTGAGAATTCAACCCTGAAGACACAAATTTTTTTTATCTCTACGCAAACTGAATTATTTCCATTTAATGGTATCTAGAATACCTCTTTTTCACAGAAAAATGTCTTAAAATATATCTCCCAGGTCTTATATACAAAGTTGTGGTATCTTGCTAGCTAACACTTACCCAGACACTGCATGCAATAAGTACTTGTACTTATCCTAACTCCATAATATTAAATGTAAATAGTGTGGGATCTTATAGGCTAAAAAATACTGTTTATTTTATCATTATCTTTGATTTTTAAATAGGTGAACTTCAACAATTATTCTTTTGAAAAAATCCACCTGGGACGTCCTTATTCCAACCACCCTTTTTATTAAATATTCAGGAAATTTAGCCCTTAATTTAGGCTATGAGCATTCTAGAAAAAAGTATTTCATGAATGAAAGTATTTTTGTTTTTTTTAATCCAGCTATCCCTTTTATTCCAACCACCCTGTCAATTTGAAACTTAGGTGTGTTCATTATTAGAAGCCTATTGATATTACCATTACTTTTTTGTTTTTGAAGTAAAGTTTGAAATAATAATAATAATAATATCATGGCACACCTTCACAAATATCAGAGCTTGTTATGGGGGACTGTGAGGATAACACTTTTCCGGCTGATACTGCCTTGGTATACAGTTGTGGAAGAGTGTTTTTTGTTAAAGTACTTATTTCCACTTTCTCTCTATCAAACACTGTGATATGCCAGTAACAAGACATTAAGATATTGGGTAATGAGACAGAGTATAGAAGGAAATGGATTTATGTCTTTTGCAAGGGAATTCATGCAAAGTTAACATAAACAGCCTCAGTTAGAACTTGAAGCTGGTTTTCTGATTCTATTTCTGTGGAATAACCATTACATCACTTTATGCCTTGACACTAATGATATTTAAGATATATTGATGTCTGACAACCAAGAGTAACTATTGCCACAGTTTTGAAGAATTGTTTAAATGAGACATAACCCGTTCTATTTGGGAAGAATCCATTGTAAAATGGACATATACAATTTATAAGGATCTTAAATATACTCTTCCACTAGGATATGGAAATAAAAACTTTGGGCAGACATAATGTACACCTTCAAACTCTTGCAAGTGCCAAATATATAGTCACTGGCACCAAATACCAAATGAGGAGTAATGTTGCAGGCATGGGGGCATTTTCATCCATTCAGTATTTTCACCTGTCTCTGGATGTGCTCATCTAGTAGTTTATCATTGTGTAACTGCTAGGATGTAATTATCAAAAAAATCCCTTTGGTCATTCTAGCAGGCTGTGGTTTTGTTGATCTGGAGACTTTCTTGAAAGGCAGAAAAATGACAGAAAAATAAACACTTGTAAAAAAAAAAAAATCATTAACAGCTTAATACTACAAGCTTTCAAAGGTTACAATCAGTCTTGGTTAATTTCTAGTAAGATCTTGAGGCATTGAGAAGAGTTAACTGCAAGGTTAGGCGTTTGTGTCTATGTGTTGGAGATTTCTTCAGAATGAAGAATAGAAAGATGGCATTTTCTCTGAATGTAACAAGCAATTCTTGGACACAAACTAAGCAGCCGTGAGCTCTGACTTATATAGACATTTGTCTGGTGGCAAGAATGACATTTATGGATATTATCTGCCCACAAAGACTTTTCAAATTTGAAATCAGATTGCCATATGAAAAAGTACCTTTGACCAGACATAACCCTTCCAAAGGTACCTTTGAACAGATTCTAGACTTGCATTATGGACAGGATTTTGCAGAACTTTGGTAAACATATTAATCTTGTCACCACAACTTTTTGGAAGTTGAGAAATTGGGTAGAGAAAATTCAGTTTTATTGAGTTTACTAAATCTTACTGGGTTTATTTTGGGTTCAAATCCTACTGATGCCTTTCTAATAAGCATTTTATAAGTTCTGGTTAATATTTTAAAACTGAACCTTCTTCCATCAGATTCCAATCTCGTCAACTAATCTTCCATACTTTTTTCACTTAGTCAAGAATTCTAAGAGAAGGAATAAAAATACTATTTCAATATTTCAAGTCACTAAATGACATTTAATGCATTATTATGACTCCATCAGGGCTACTACCCTGTTACAATAGCACAAGGAACAACAAAATGCCTGAACATAACCCATTTTGGATAAAAATGCAGACATAACCACTTCTGGTTATCAGCATTCAACATGTATGACCATTTCATCTAATTAGAACTGAATGTACAATTAAATTGAAATGGAAAAAAATTGTTTTATATAGGTTGTGTATATAGACTGGTGGCTAAGTTAAGGTTTCATTCTAGGTGCAAGGTGAGTGACATTCATCTATTTCAAATGAAGAACAACTTTCTTTAATCTAGGGGTAAATGCTTTGCCTATTTAAATCCCATTTGATACTTGATATCTACAAAGTATAGATACAAACTAAGAAGATAACGGAAGAAAATTGAAAGTAGAGGAAAATAGATGCAACATCAAAAGATTTTAGTTACTTCTATATTTCTGTTTCGAAACTGATCTATTTACAAAAGTTTCAGTTCTTTCTCTCCTTTACTTACCACAAATTATTTGCATATATTTTTAAATTTTTTTTATCTAATTCTAACTTTTAAACCTGTATGATTTTGATTTGATTTAATTTCTGTATATTTGCTACCATAGCAGAAAGATGCACATCATAGTGCAATTTTTATTAACACAATACTGTTAACATGATCTAAATTAAAGAGTAAAGCCATTTCCAAACCAATCATTCCAATGGTTTCCAAGTAATTTTCAGTTAAATATAAATTGACTCCACCAATACCACAAAAAAGGTCCGTTCAAGGGAGATAACTCCAACTCTTAAAAACTACAAGAAGAATATAACTTTAACACACACACACAAATGAAAACTTTGTAAGTATTTTAAAAAAATTATAAGTTTGATTTTGTAATACTTTTTAAAAGGCTCTCTCAAATTATTTTCATGAAATTTTTATTTCAAAAGACAGAAATTTTAATATTAAAAAAAGTTATTTAATATACAACTATTTGGAAACAATTTTTTTTTTTTTTTTTTTTTTTTTCCAAAAATTTTAAAATTTCGTCTTTATACTATGTTTAATGAAATCTTTAAATTCTGTAAATTTCAATAAATATAAAATTTTATTTTAGGCTAATTTGAAATTGAATGATCTCAGATGGCATTTTTTAAATGATTTTTACTATCTTTTTCTTTGCAGGTGCCAAGGACGTGTCCATAAATATAGGATTCTTCCAGATTTGGATGGCAAACTCTCAGTCCAGGTAACATTTTATGGCAAAAACAATCTTTCTACTTGACAATTCTTGACTCTTCCTTTTATTTATCTACCTCCCACACAATATACTGGCTGTATTTTACTTTTCTATTACATGCTATGCTGACTGGATTCCTACTACACAATTTCAAACTTTTCTCTTCCTTTGTAAATAATTATTTGGTGACAAAATTAAAAAAAAAAAAAAAATGAAACTTAATTGCTTTTTTTTGCCTTGGCTTTTTATAATTTCTTGAACAGATCACTCACTTTTGATGTGAAAACTCATCCAGGCAACATCTAATAATGAACATTTAATTAATTTCTCATGGGGCCAAAGCAAACATCTTTTAAAGATCAAATGATTTGAGAAAGAAAAAACTGCTGAAAAACTTGGTTTAAAATTCTCTTAACCACTTGGGAGCAGTTGATATTTCACAAGAAATTTCTTTCTTCTGGAGTGGCTGGTGGAATATTTTTGCTGATATGATGTCACACATTGATAGGCTCTGTAATTCCTTATGCTTTACCAAAAGTAGTGCAATTTAGATTTTCTGCTTTGATAACAAACTTCTGTTCAGTATTCCAAAATTGGTTTGTGCCATTGATGTTACTGCTGCGTTTCTGAAAATCCATTCTAGTACTTTCTTCAGTTGAATAATATTTTATACACCTCTATGTACAAATTAGAATTACCAGTGTTATGCAAGCAGGGTTGGGGCAGCAATGAATGATATTGTTTACATTTGAATGGAAAGAATTGAACCAGTTGGGATATTTATCAACTATCACTTTATCACCTTGTTCTGCCACAGTAACAAAAAATAACCTTCTCTTTCCTTAGGAATTAAAATCTTAAAAAGGTTTCAGAAAACACTTGCTGAAAGATAATGGTGATTACACAAAGAATGAGATCAATTATCAGAACATGTCCTGGAATATTAACAACTCAGTGAGAAGAATTATAGACAATATCACGTTCTAAATATTCATGCAAGAATGATATTTAGGCTGGTAAATGTGATTTGGACAACCTCTAGTAAACAATGTCCTTGTGATTTGGACATCCTCTAGCAAACAATGTCCTTGTATTTAAAAATGGTGATACCCATGAAGAAATATTGTGTGTGTGTGTGTGTAATGTATGTGGCATCTGTCGGTCTCAAGAAACATTGGATCTGTGCCCAACTGCTGATGGCAGCACATCATCTGTTAATGTTATAGAGGCCTACTCAGGAATGACAGTCTTGATTGTAATGAGTGCATGTGAGGACGCTCTCTCCTAATGTCGCTGTGTTGTTTTCCTCTGATTCCTCTCTCCTTGCTCCAGCCCTTGGTGTAAATTGCATCTCCAGCATGAGCAATCATTGATGACGTCTTCTCTCCTCTTGATGTCCATGTCCATCACCATCATGTCACTTTAGCAGACATTCTTAAAGAAAAGATGTGGTTGCCTTCTTGCAAGTGGCTAGTTCTCCATACAGAAGGATCTTTAGAATCCTTCCATCAGTAGACTGTTGTTTTCCATATTTTCGTGTTGTCACTGTAATGTCATCTCCAGTGCACAGGCCTAGGCAGGAGATATAAATATATATCTGATGAAATTTGCAAGTTCTACCTCATCTTAGTCTGGTAGGGAATTAGTGATTCAAGACCATAAATGAGGATGAAGACAGTAAAAGCAATAATGGTTCTGAAACAACTGATGGTAATGTTTTGTCAATATACCACTGTATATTAATATTAATAGAATGACCAAGTCTACTGAATATAAGAGCTATATACAATACTAGAATTTTTTGCAACACGCTAATCTGTTGAAATCCTCACAGTATTAAGGTATTGTTGAAGTTATCATTAACATTTTTTGTCAAAATTTACAAACTCTGTTTCATTCAATTTTGCAAACCAATTGATGAAATTTGAATAAGCTGATTTGTTTCAAAAGATACTTTGACAAAAACCCTACTTTGCAGTTTAATAATATCTTTAATTTAATTTAATTTTATAGGACTTCATTGTTAACAATAGTTTTTAAGAAAATTTATTTTTTCCTTTTTAACAGCAAAGAATAAATACTTAGAATTTCTTACTCTTGAGCATGCAACATACAACTGGCCATATGTAAATATTTTTTTCTGGAGCCAAATTCCAACTTTTTGAAGTGTTTGGCCTTGTGATTTGTTTATAGTTCTTGCAAACACTGCGTGAACCGGAAACTGGATTCTTGTATATATAAAAACTTAAAGAAAAGATATGCAAAAAACAATATTACATTTTTATTAAATAAATATTTGTTATTTTATCATTAAATTGTTTTTAAAATAGTTGGAGTATTTTGATTGTTAAAGAATAAAACTTTTAATTTTTCCTCACAAATTAATGAAAATTTATTGTGCTAAGCTATGCACCCTAGTAAAACCAACTGTACTTCGTACCCACCTTACCTGTTTGCACTTCACCCTAAAATTTGGTTTTGATCGGTCAATGTATGGCTATTTTAGATGGTGTGATGGATGGATGGATGGACTAACAGAAGTCACACAACTTTATATATAGAAACTTCAGATGTTTGAGAGCTACAAGTCAAACTAAATTGACACCTATTGTTAAAATATTATTTAATATGAATTAATACATATTGAATTTAGAATTACCTCAGATAAACAATGGACTATTCCTGTTTAATTCTGAGGATAGACAAAAGAAAAGATATTTGTTTGGTTTTGAAAAGAAAGAAAGAAAAGGTGATAATGCTCTCATGTGTTTGACATCTGCTTCAGTGAAATGGAAAGCTCAGATATTTAATGAGGCAATAGGAAACCAGTGAAACTCACAGAGAGCTTATTCAGTCATTAACTTAAGAATTAAGATTCATCACAAAATTTAACTAGGAAAACCGCATAATTTTCATGACTGTGCATTTGTATACAATAATATTTATTCACGCACACACACAGTGGGCCAAAAGTTGGCTTACACTTAATAGGTATGCACTTTACATTTTTTTTAAAAACATTTTATTACATTTATATTTGTTACAATCATATTTGTTCAAAACTGTTTATGTACATTTGTTTAACACTTACATTTTTTTTTTTTAGCACAGTTTAATCTCTTAAGTGCTTAAAATGTCTTCCTTCAAAATTGCAATATTCCTTGAACCTCTGTAGAACACTATGATACACAGCATGACTCAAATCTTGATCTGCATCAATTTCAATAAATACTTCTGAGATGTAATCTTTTAATTCATCCACTGTGTTGGGATTTCTATCATAAACCTTGTTCTTTACTACACCCCCAAAAAAAGAGAAATCCGTTGGTGTTAGGTCAGGTGAATGTGGTGGCCATTCAATGTTGTCACTTCTTCCGAATCAACACTGCGGAAAGATTTGATTAAGGTAATCCTTTACTGCGAAAACATAACAGAGAGATGTTCCTTCTTGCTGAATGAACAGTTTAGCGAAGTTATCTCTGGTTATGAGCTGTGATCTAAAATGTGAAACAAATGTACGCCTACTTTTTGCCCACCCTGTAGAGTGGTTATCAATAGAGAAAGTTTAATTAGTATACTGAATTCAAGTTCTGAGTTTGTTGCATTCACTTTCACACAAATACCCTTGTGAAACGTATGAATTCATCTCTTCTCCCCACTCAGTCATGTTACATATTTCATTTAAGACCTTGAAAAGATTACATTTTTTTTTTTATTACTTTTTCTTACATACATTTTGACTAATAGTTTGACATTATAAATAACACAAAATTATTAAAATAATAAGATGCTGGAGAAAACAAAGACTTCATTGATTAAAAACAAAATTACTCATTGATGTCAACAGTGGCTGAAAGTATTTTGAAGAAACAATTTCAGGAAATATATTTTTAATCTTGAACCACCAGTCAAAGTTCTTATAGCAAAACAAGAAAAAATAATTTAAAAACTTCTTAAAAGAAATCTTTTCATGGTATTTAAGCACAGTACGAGATTGGTAACAAGTTCTCCTTAATTTACAAATGAATTGGCCAGGTACAACCATAAATTCTATACTAACAGTTTCTTTTCTCACACGTCTCACTTGTGGAACTCTCTTCTGGCTCCATGCTTTCCAGCCAATTTTGATCTTCTGTCTTCTTAATTACTCTTCTTTTATTGTTCTCACTTCTTAATGTTTCTCTTTTTTTCATATCCTTTCACATTCAGTAAACCCGTGTGTCTTTACTGTCTTGCTTGGAGTGAAAAAAAAATATGAATGCTTGTATGCATACCAGTTTGCTACAAAGTTCTCAGTTCAGCCAGGAAGGGGTTCAAATCCTCAAAAAATGATCAGCTTTTTGATCATTTTGGTCAGATTTCGAGAATTAGATCAAGCCTAGAATTTTTCAGTGTCCATTATCTTGTATATATATATATATATATATATATATATATATATATATATATATATATATATATATAGGGTGATTAGTAAATTGTCCCATTTTATACTTTTAATTTTTTTACATGCGTGTTGTTTGTTTTTGATTTTGTCGATTGCACAGTATAGTTAGTGTCAGTTAGGCACCATCTGTGAGAAAAAGTGCACCATGATGCAATTCACTCCACCAGAAATTTGGATATGGCATGATGTACTGCTTGTTATTTGTTCTGGAAGCAGCAATATGAATATTTCAGAGTGTTTGGGTATCATTCTGATGACAGTGCAGAGGATTCAGAAAGAGGTGGATGAGTCTAATGGTGATTACGAAGGTGTTTGGTGTGATCACTGGTGATAGGAAGTAATGCCTCCATTCAGGCTGTGTTCCCAAAAGATGTACCAAGAGTAATGAAAACCAAATATTCAGTCAACATCATGGTGTTTGGAGTGATCACTATTGGTGGCAACATGATAACTTCACTCATCTTCCTACAGAACCTCAGACTCAACATGGAGGCCTACATTAAATATCTTGAGGACGTTATGCTGCTCTGGGTCAAGAAGGTGGCTGCTGGAATACCCTATG